CATGTCCACTTCTGTTGTCATCAAGTAACAATTGATGAGGAAATGATGTATTTGTTTATCAAATAATAATTCTTGTATTTTAATTTTCATTTACTTCAAGTTAATTTCATTCGATAATCACTGATGAAGATTAAAAAACGAACACAATTATTAAATTTTATCAAACTAATAACAATTTGATATTTAAATACAACAAACTTACAATAAGAATTAAATGGTAAATGATAACCAAATTACAATAACTGATATTAAATGGTAATAAACAAAATTAACTAAAATATATTAACAAAAAGTCCAACAAATTTAACAAAATAAAGTAAGTATTAAATGAGAAATAATAAAAAATTACAATTAAACAAAACAAAGTATATATAAATATAATAAAAAAAAAATCTATCGATGCATACGTCGTGAATGTGTTCCGCATGGCTGTGGCTGTCGGTCTCGAGGAGGATTTCTTCGTATCACTGGTTCTGACTCCTCGCTGTCATCATCATCGTCATCGTCACCATCGTCATCGGCGGCGGCGGCGTCGTCGTCCTGAGCAGGTACATCAGGTTGATGAGGAGCTGATGACGATGAAGCACCTCCATAAAATAAGGACACTGGAGGTGTATGACTGACTAACCCACCGGCATGCGAAAACTGGGAAAACCCAGACATCGCTGAGTGTGAAAACTGTACAGGAGGTGTCTGTGCTGCGGCAATGGGTGATGAGGATGAACCCGCCAAATATCCAGCATATGAACCCCAAGTTAGATCTGCAAACATAGACCCATAATAGCCTCCAGGAGGGGTCATCTGTGACGGTGGCGGTGGCGGGGTCATAAAACCAAGTGAAGGCGACGGCGGCGATATCTAGTAATGGAAAGGCGATGGCGGCATCATATATGGCTGCGGCATCATATATGGCTGCGACATCATATATGGCTGCGGTGGCTGCTGGGAAGGTCCTGGTGGTGCAGCTGAGGATAAACCGAAAGCACCTGCTCTCCGTCCACGAGTCGGGGGACGATGGTGCTGTGTCGGTGAACGTCTCTGTCGACGTCGTGGAAAGGTCTGCCCTCGTGCATCCTCGGGAAGTAGAAACGGTTTCCCGTTACTGTTGAACCACTCATAATAACCGTCAGCATACATCAAGAGGTCATAAAAAATGGGCTCTCTACGGGGAAGGCACCGATGTCGATCCTCCCACAACACGACCCACTCATGATGCCTCACCAGTCAATCTGTATCTGTCTTGCCGCATCTATCTAAGCTATGCAACTCGTCCATATTGCGAGGTGCTTCCGGAATTGGTTGAAAACAACCAAATTGCCGGAGCACGCGATCAGTGGAGTGCCACTCGACGGTCGCATAACAGATCAGAGGGACCATCGCCATCCAAACATCTGATGGGCCCCTCAACTCAGGTGGGATCACCGCCCTCACATCATCAGTAGAATATGGCACCCATTCAAACTAAAACAAATAATATATAATTTTTATCAAAATAATAATCTAATTATATAACTATAATCTAAAATCGATTTTTAAACATTAAAATTCATACCTGTATGCCAGCCTTCTGATCGATTAGCACCCTAATTTTTTCTAAATCATCAGGTAGCTCCTGATGATTTTTCCTATCAGTAGACCACCTATTCAAGGAAAAAATTTGTTATACGCTGTATAAAATTATTAATATACAAAATCAGGTTTATAATTACCTCAAAAGTAGTGAAAATACGAACGGGTTCTTCACAACGGGACATAAAAAGGGCAATCGATACCATGCCCAAGACTGCAGCAGCAGGAGACATCAGCCGATAGCATTACGCCTGTAGTCAGTGGCTCCACATATCTCCCTGTACAGCAAAGCCAAAACTGCCGAGCCCCAACTGAATGATCCGGTGAGACGAAAGTCGCTAAGATGTCACAACCACATGCAGTGAACTAGGTTGCGCGATTTGTCCGGCATCAACAACCCTCCTATCAGCTGCAGTATGCATGCCCGTGCATACATCTTAACCTCATCCTCAGAGGCGTCTGCGCTTAACTCCCGAAAATTGGCATCTAACCAATTTAACGGTATCCTACCTCCGATAAAATTTGCAGGACACGTCCTAGACTATCCCGACACAAAGTAGTCCAAGAACCGGAAGCTATCCCCGATATCACATCTCCATCCACCGGAAGCCCCAGGTGCATAGAAACATCCTCAAGCGTGATCGTGCACTCTCCGCACGGAAGATGGAATGTATGGGTCTCCGGCCTCCAACGCTCTACTAAGGCAGAAATCAGATCTAGCTCTATCTTACAGTGACCCTGATATCTACCTATGTAACCGAATCCAGCCTCTACTAAATACGGCAAGACACGGTTGGGTATCACTAACTTAAGATTCCTAATAAAATGGTCTAATACATGGTCCTTCTCCTAAAAATAAATAATTACAAAAATTAATTCTTAATCTAATAATCATGCATTAAATGAATCAACTAATTATTACTAATAATTTAAATTAAATTAAAATGTTAAAATGTTACCGTATCAGCAAAGTGTCGAGATATTTAATTCATAATCTAATAATCATACATTAAATAAATCAACTAAATATTACTAATAATTTAAATTAAATTAAAACGTTAAAATGTTACCGTATCAGTAAAGTGTAGAGATATATGATTTCCATCCGAACGAAGTAGATTGCCTTCCATTATATATCTGTACAAGAATTATATTAGTACAATATTAAATAAAGTAAAAACATAATAGTAAAAATATTATAAAAAACACCTTAAAAAGAGAGTATTTGACAAAAATTTAGAGAATTTGAGAGAATTTGGTGTAATAAAAGTGATTGAGGATGGAGGTATTTATAGGGAGGATGGGGACGTGAAGGGATGGAATTTAGGGGTATAGCGCGCCCCCTGCACCGCGTTATACCCCACGTGTCAGATATCCAAGTATAGCGCGGATCAGGGGGCGCGCTATACCCACGTGGCGCCAGATCACCGTATATCGCGGGGCAGGGGGCGCGCTATACTCACGTGGCGCCAAATCAGCATATAGCGCGGTGCAGGGGGCGCGCTTTCCTACTAAGGGTGTTAGATCGGAAAATATAATCTGACCGGTGTTAGATCGGTAATAATACCGATCACCGGTGATATACGGGGAAAATCACCAACTATTCACGTAATCATGGATGGAGAAACATCATTAGGATGGGCATCGAGTCTGAACCCGACGAGTTTCGACCTGACCCGGCCCTATCGGGTCGAATTTTTTTTAAAAAAAATTAGATTCGAGTCGGACCGAGTTTTATATTAAAATATTTGAAGTCGGGTCAGAGTTGAATTTAGGGTTAAAATAACCCGACCCGACCCGATCCTATCCGATCCGAATAGTTAATGCATAATTTTTTTTTCTTTTTTTACTTTCCCTATTTCTAGTTTCCTACCCTAGTCGGCAATGCATCTGCAGCATATCCTTCAAAGTTCGAGGTCAGAGTCCTAACTAATTTCTTTTCTAAATTCTCCACCGAGGATTCGAGCCACCGACGCAGGGGCAGCGAGCTTTCTGATTTCTCTGCTTCAGGTATTTTGTCATTTTGTCTCATTTATGCTTTCACTTTTCGGTTCAAGTATTCAGTGTCAGTTACTATTATGAAAAACTCTTTAAACTGGTTGCGAATAGCAATGCGCACTATCTCAACTCAATTAATTTTAAGAAAATCTCAACTCAAATCATAAATTGATTTTGAATATAAATAATCGAAACTGAAACTAATTTTATTGAATAAACAAGCTATGGGGTAACATTTAAATTGTTTTGTTTGCTTAATCAATAAAAGCATATTCTACCCAAGTGCTCGTCAAGAGTCTTTGCAAACGGTAGTAAAGAAAAACACTCCCTTATCAAGTCACTATCGTGAAAAGTAAGTTGATTTTGGATGTAAACAAATATATATGATTTTTTTTTTATTAATTTAAGGTAATTATAAGTAGTAGTATGTATTTTAAATACTATTAATCATTTGACAATAAATATTTAAATATGTGAAAGTCATCGGTACTCGAACCCGGGTCCTCTAAAGATACAATAATCATCATTTCAATCACTAAAATCATTTGATTTGTGTAAATATATATTATTTTTTAATATTCGATATATAGTTTTAATTTAAAGAGTGTCTCAAAATAAATAAATACTTAAACATAAAATGTACTATTTTCCTATGTTACTTTTCACTGGTACTCAAACTTTGTCACATTCACACAAATCAAAGCCAGCCTGTTTCAACAAGGACTGTACCCATTTTTCTTTTTGCAGATTAATCAAAAGCCAGCCTGCAAAATTCTACCGCAAATCTCGGTTCAAAACGCATCAATTAAGTAGCTAGTGCCGTGACAAACTCTTAAAACATCATATCAATTAAGACGGAAGGACCCTAGCCCCATCCCTGGGGGAGAAAAACTTGATTCCACTTGAATAATGGGAATTTTCTGTTATACTCGACTATAAAAAAAATTAAATTTGAGTTGAGTTATAAAATAAAATTTGAATAATTTAAATAATTCAAAATTTTTAGTAATTGATGAATTTATTTTTAAATTCAAATCAATTCCCTCAACTTACTCAAATTTAATTAAAATCATAAATTATTCGAATTGCATATTAAAGTATTTAAATTTAATTCTTGTAATAATTTTAATATTCAAATTACTACGTTGAGAAGGAAGATTTGCAGTACATGGTTTGAATAATTTGCAAAACAAAATATAAATTAAAATGGTAAGTTGCTTACTACATCAAATAGAAAACAATAGAGAAGAAAAACAATTGAATCGTAAAATATGGGTCCAGACATAAAGTCTTGCATTTTAGGCCTTCCATTATTTAAATTATTGTGGGTTGGTACCCCATATTTCTTATCCAAATTATTTAAAGGCACTGATGAATCCGCCCTTTTAGCCTTAAAATCCCATATAACTCATGATCCACATAATCGCATAACTCAGCTGTTTCTCTCTTCATGATTTGCATTATACCCACACCAAACCTTATGGCAAAAACTCCCTTCCTCCCTGTTATGTTTCTGCTGCTATTTGCTACCTTCAGAGCTACTTTGTCTGCCAACATAACCACGGATGAATCCACCCTTTTAGCCATAAAATCCCATATAACTCATGATCCACATAATCTCTTAGCAACCAACTGGTCCACTTCTATCCCTGTTTGCAATTGGATTGGTGTCACTTGTGGATCCAGACACCACAGAGTTACTGCTCTGAATTTTTCAAGTATGGATCTCACGGGCATCATCCCATCTCAATTAGGAAATTTATCTTTCCTTGCCTACCTCAACATTCGTCACAATAGTTTCCATGGCTCTTTACCTACTGAGTTAGCCAATTTGCATCGGCTGAAGTATTTGAACTTTGGAAACAACAGCTTCAGTGGAGAAATCCCATCATGGTTTGGTTGTTTTGCTCATCTTCAAAGCTTGTTGTTGTACGGTAACAACTTCATGGGTGTTATCCCGTCCACTCTTGGCAATTTGTCAAAACTTGAAACGTTGGCCTTCTACAACAACAACCTCGAAGGACAAATCCCATCTCAATTGGGAAAAATGTCTTTCCTTGCCTCCCTCAGCATTCATCACAACAACCTCGAAGGACAAATCCCTATGTCTATGGGAAACCTTTCAAACTTGAAAGTGCTATACCTCGATGAAAATTATCTTTCAGGTCTATACTTTTCTCTAAGTGCCCTACTTCTTTCCTCCCTTTTTGCCACAGATAACTTTATTTTCACTAGTAAAAAGTTTATTTTATAACTAACGTTTTCACTGCAGGCCATCTACTCTCACTTGAACAATTCCAAATTTTTTCTTCATTTTTTTTGTTTTCTATTTTTTATATACACTTGGACCATCATCATATTATCCAATATCAAATTAGGGCAGACTAAATGAATAAGTTATAACCTACATATTGAAATAAGTTGTATCCTTAGTCTTCTCTAAATCAATTACCTTACAACTATTTGATGTTTTCATAAGTAGTAAAATAATTTAATAAAATTTTCATTTTTTTTTAAAAAGAAGGAAAATAAATGAAGAACATCAACCTATAGCGCTGAAAAAAAGGATCTAAATTAATTTCCAATGTACTTCTCTCGCATACACAAATTTTTATAATAGCGATTTTCTTGGGAAAAATGTATTTGGATTGAATAATTTCAAATATTTGCAACTTTCATAAGTTTAAGGGTTTGTTAGAAATTAAAAAAATGGAGCGAACGAATGCCTCTTTTGCTCAACATAGAAATTAAGGGTTTGTTAGGAAAACTATTAATAAATTATGATATATTTAATTTTATATTTAAGATGAATTTCAATTATTTAATAGAAAACCAACTTATCTGGAGAACATTAATCTTTCTTCTAACAACTTAAAAGGCGTAATATCATATATTTTTTTCTCAAATTTTATATTTTTTTGTTAGTCTTGAATATAATTTCATCAATTAAAAGATGTTTTATAACTAAAATCTCACTGCAGGCCATTTACAGTCGAGAATATTTGATAACCTATCTAAATTGCAAGAATTAAATTTGATTGGGAATCATATTTCTGGTAGCATTCCTAATAGTTTATTCAAGTGCAAAGAGTTGAGGTATTTATTATTGGGGAACAACTCTATGGAAGGAAGTATACCCATGGAAATAGGAAATTTGACAATGCTCCAATATTTGCATCTTGGTTACAACAACCTCAAAGGTAAACAAATCCTCATTTGCAATTCGTTCTCCTTTATTTCGTTAGTTGTGTTATGCCTAATTTTAATAAACCAGTTAAAAATGACAACCTCAACTTAAGTTTGACGTCAAACCTAATGGTAAAAATGACGGTAAACTTCAATTTAACCTCATGGTAGTACATTATTACTGAGAAAAATAATATTAAAATTCAATTTTGGTAATAACTCAATATCCTTTTTTGAAGCATAACTTTAAACAATATCATCAAGCTATCATTTGATGTTAACCCAATTTAAAGAAGAAGAAAAAAATGTTGTGATTAATTATAAAAACATTTTTATTAATTTGGGTGTAGACGATATGAAATAACTGGTTAAAGTTTAGACTGATACAAATCTTCTAAATTTGATCATAGTTTAAGGCTGTTATTTCGATTGTGCCAATTGAAGTTTGATTATTTATTTTGCAGGTTCTATTCCTTCGTCAATCTTCAACATTTCCTCTTTGCTACATATTTATCTGGGATACAACAATCTCTTTGGTTCACTCTCTTCCAATACGTTCGATCATCTTCCTCAATTATCTTATCTTGATTTGAGCGCGTGTCAACTTAATGGGAGAATTCCAATGAGTTTATTCAAATGCAAAGAGTTGGAATATGTACATTTGGGTACAAATCATTTAGAGGGAACCATACCATTAGAAATCTCAAATTTAACTTCACTTAAAGTTTTCGTCATCCAATTCAACAACTTTTCAGGTAAGTTAAATGACATCATGCTTTAATAATGTTCTTAAATATAAAAGAGTTCTTTATCATTGATTTTTTTTAATTATATTGTCCTAATTTATTTTAGCTTTTCAATTTATTTTATTAGCATATTTATATTCTTGGCTCTTTAAAAAAATAGTACAACTTCTAACTATTTGATTAGTCCAAACTTCTGCAATGTATATAAAATGTCTTCAATTGATGAAAATGATCAAACGCATTCATGTCTTGCTATTGGATGTGGAGATCAAGAAACCAATTGTACGTATTCCATAAGTCATGTTATTTAATATGAGACAAATAGAGTATGTAAGTTCTAGTTCTAGTTACGGAACAAATTAAATTACCTAAATTCTAAAAAAAAAAATAAGCATGAAGATACTCAATCACACTACTATACTTATCAAGACATAAGATACGTATTTTGTCAAATTATTTTTGATTAATTTAGTTATATATTTCAGGTACAATTCCATCGGTTATCGGAAATATAACTTCTTTAGAGATCATTAATTTTTTGGATAACAACTTGACAGGTATAATATAATTTTCATTCCTCTTTTTGTTGTTAACTTTTTCTTGAATTTTTTTGTTATTTTGTTATATATTTATTAATTAATTATAAGATTTTTTTGTCATTTGATGTGTCCTTTCGTATTCAACATAAATAATTTAAATATTAGACTCAAATAAATTCATTCTAAAATGATTTCAATTTAAAATATTTTTTTTCAACTCGAAATGAACTAAACCATTTTCCTTGGTTTTTTTTTTTTCTAATTGTAAGTTGAAAATATTGTTGGGTTACGATACATGAATAGAAATGTATCAAAATCCTTTTTAATATCAACTTTTTTTTATTTCGTTGGAAAATTTTCTGTCCAAAATTTGGTAATTTGTGAATGTCATGTAATATAAGTGAATGTTTCAAAAATATATTTCCTGATGCAGTAGCAAAAATGGTATTTGTTATACATACCCAGCTGTTAGAGAGTGAACTGATTTACCGTTGTCGTCTAAAATCCTTTTAAAACCAACTATATATTTTACTACAATTTAGGCTCCATAAATGATGTTGGTTTCATCTAAGAAATGGCCTGATCTTGTTAAGTAAATTAAGTAATCATGCTTATTGGCTATACGCGTCATGCATGTTTCAAAAAATTTCAAACATCTAATTCTAGCTCTATTCCATATTTTCTGCAAGGCCGTATTCCTTCCTCATTATGCAATTTAAGTTCCCTTTGGGACCTCTCTTTATGGAACAATAGTTTGGATGGAACAATTCCGGAATGCATTGGAAATTTGAGTTCTCTTTCTGTGCTCGACTTAGGGATGAATAATTTTCATGGTAAAATACCTGAAAATTTTGTTAAAGGTTGCTCGATACTCAGCTTTCGAATCAAGAACAACCAAATAGAAGGGTCATTACCACGATCTTTGGGTAATTGTAAAGACTTGAAGCTTCTCGACTTTGGAAACAACTATTTGAATGACACTTTCCCAAACTGGTTAGGAAATTTGGATCAGTTACAAGTGCTTAACTTGAGATCAAATAGATTCTATGGTAAGGTGGATAGCTCTGATGTTACCTTCACTCGTTTGCGTGTCATTGATGTTTCTCGTAATAACTTCAATGGCTATCTACCTATGAACTTTTTCGAAAATTTGCATGCCATTAGAGAAGTGAATGAAAAGAAAGTTAAACAAGAGTACATGATGGATATAATAGATGATGGAACAATATATAATGTGCTAAGTTTATCGTTTACAACAAAAGGGTTGGAAACAGAGTTTGGGAAACTATCAACCATATGGACAATTATCGACTTTTCCAACAACCAATTCTCCGGAGAAATTCCAAAGACACTTGGAGAGCTTCATTCACTGATTGTCCTAAACCTCTCTCATAATTGTTTAACAGGTCCTATCCCATCATCATTTGGTGATTTGTCGGAGCTTGAATCATTAGATCTCTCATCAAATAAGCTCCATGGAAGAATTCCAACAGAGTTTAAAAATCTTGGATTCTTGGAGGTGTTAAACCTTTCCCATAATAATCTAGAGGGACCCATTCCTCAAGGCAAACAGTTTGATACTTTCACTAATGATTCCTATATAGGAAACCTGGGCTTATGTGGGCTGCCATTATCAAAAAGCTGCGATAATGGTGAGAAAAATCCAGTTAGATTTGATACAGATGATGATGATGATGATGGATTGAACTGGAAATTTTCAATATTAATGGGTTATGGATGTGGATTGGTGCTGGGATTGAGCATGGGATACATTGTATTCACAACTGGAAGACCATGGTGGTTCATTAGGACCTATGAGAGAGTTCAACAAAGATTTGCAAAAAAGGTAAAAAAGAGAACTCTTTGAAGGATTTTTGTTGTAGAGCAAACATTGGAGAGAGTAGAAAACTTCATTGAATGGTGGTAGGCAGACCTTTATCAATAGTTGTTTCTATATATTGTTTGTCTTCAATAATTTCCAAATAATTTTATGTTGCCTCTTTTATATTTTCATTGCATTTTGGACTTTCCTTTTATATTATACTTGGATGAATCCCTGTATTATGTGGAGTTTTAAGAAATTTTTGATTAAAAATTGTTTTATTTATTTTTAAATTGTTATGATAGTAAGATAATATAATTATATTTTTATTAATCATAAAAATTATTTATAATCTAACTTTAATTTTAAATTGATTCATTCATTAGTTAAATATTGAAATAATTTTATTATTGTTAATGATTCATTTGACCTAAATACACATTTTGACCATATAGAAGAATTAAACTCTGGCCATAGATACAGAAATCCCAACTCATTTCTCTACTTCTAAGCTATGATTTTTTAGGGTTAACTACTTCGAATACCTATGACTTTTAAGCTCGGGCTCGAAAATGTCATTGACGTTTCAATTTTGTCAATTTTAACACCGACGTTTATGTTTAACTCCAAAGGCATCTTTGTGCCGTGACGGTGATGACGTGTCTCCCTTATCAAAATGACGTCATTTCGATGCAACTGTTTTGATGCTTGAAAACCCAAAATGACGTCATTTTGTTAGAGGTATTTGATTAAAAATTGCTTTTCATGAGATTTGAACCAAAAAAAATCTCCTAACCAATGCTAAGCACCCAACCACCAAGCTAACTTTAGAACTTAATCTATTTTTAACAAAACTATTATATATGTTAAATAGTATTTGTATACTTTCATCTTCCTCATCAATCCATATCCATAGACGTTTCAATAATGCTAATCAACTGCTCGACAAAATGCCAAGCTCAAGATTTTCAACAGCCAAGCTCGAGCGTTCCAAGATTTTTTTTTAACACTGAAAAAAGCATCAAGCTTTATAGAGGGCGAAGATCAACGTATAAGATGGCAAACAAAATTTGTTCATATTGATCAGAATTGCTTCCGTAGCTACCACCAGTGCAATAACTGTTATTGCCACCATAACTTCCTTGGCCTCTATAACCACTACCACTGCCAATATCCTATTTGAACATGTCTGCACTGCTTGTACTGTTTTTTACTATTTGAAGATAAAGGAGATAGAGAAATCATATGCATATATAAAGAGGAAAGCTTCGGTTTCATATTATGTGAGATGACAATGGAAAAGACAAGTGCAAGAATATAAGTTCACCCATATAATACGTTAGCTGAAGGGTTCTTTGATCAATATATTTCTTAACAAGAACATTGAGTATCGAATTGAAAATCTTCAAGGAAGATTGGGTGTTCAACCTAGAAGCCAAATCAATAATCTTGAGCTTGGCATTTCATCAAACAGTTGATTGGCATCACTTAAACATCTATGGATTTGTAAGGAAGATGAAAGTATACAACTACTATTTAACGTATATATTAGTTTTGTTAAAAACAGAACAAGTTCTCAAATTAATTTGGTGGTTGGGTACTTAGCATTGGTTCAAATCTCTTGAGAAACAATTTTTAATCAAATGCATCTGATAAAACGACGTCGTTTTGATAAGGGAGTCACATCATCACCGTCACGGCACAGAGATGTCATGTCATCATGTCATTAATGAATTAACGACATGGTGATATAAGGATGGCATAATTGGAGTTAAACATAAATGTCAGTGTTAAAATTGACAAAATTAAAACGCCAGTGACATTTTTGTGTCTGCACTTAAAGGTCAGTGGTATTTGAAGTAGTTAACCCTTTGTTATTAAAGAAATTAAATTTAAATGCATTTTAATATATATCATAATAATATCTATAATTAATTTATTGGTTTCTAATGAAATTTTTTCTATATTTTGTTATTTACTAATATTATGAAATTATATATTTTATTAATAATTTTAGTTGATTAGCAAATTATGATAAATTTTGTATACCATAAACACCACTTAAAATTATTATTTTTGAATTTATCATTGTATCATTTTTTAGGGGAAAAAATTAATCTGTTAATTATTTAAATATATAAAATATTTTTTGAATTCAACCAACATTTCCACTTATTAATATGCTCTTCTAACCCTAGTATCTCATATAATTCATCATTCACACAATCTCATCAATAAAAGTTAAATAGTATATGTTTCAATCAAGTGATGGTATATTAGAAGGTCTGGTTATATCAATGTATACAATCTCCTATGGTCTTCTTTTGACTCAATGCTATGGTAAAGAGACGATTTTATGTCATATCGAATTGAGCAATTAATTTTTTATCTTTATTTTTGATGGTATGTGAATTATTTTTCATTTTGATTTCATATATTTTTCCTTAAAAGTGGAAAGTAAGTGTCGATCCCAGAGAGACTCTGCAGTTTCTGATTCATTTATCTTCTTGTTTTTATTTCTTTTGGGATTAAGGAATTATTTTGATGCGAAAAACAACACTTGTCAACGATGTTGTTCTTCAAAGCTAGTGCATAATAAACATTTTATATGTATTTCTTTTCATTATTCTTTTGAGTAATCATGACTTCTCGCTCGCTTTTAATTTTGTGAGTGAATCATTTTTTAAAGTTAATGTAATGACTTGAATTCCGGGTCAGTAGTTCGGGTTAACGCGGAACCTGTAAGTCGAGTCCATTAGATCTCCCAAGCCAGTTTAAACTAGTCCTTAAGAGTGTTGGGCCTAAGTTTGACCCAAGAGTTAAGACAAGTGATGGTTTTAAGTTGGGGTGGAAATGAGAGTGACCAAAAGTGTAGTTTACCCATAGCTTGTTTTAAAGATTAAAAACCCCAACCCAAGTGTTCTTCACGTGAAACAAAACTCCCAAAAGTATCTCTTCCATTTTCCAATTCTCTTCTCTCTTGTTTTGCAAGAAAAGGAGAAAGCTTTTCCAATTCAAAGCCAAATTAGAGTTAATCAAGGTAAGAGTCTTAACCTTTATCCTTCAAGCTTTATTTTAGGCCCCAAATCATAGGTTTTGGGTAAGATTTGAGAGAGTGGGTTTTTGGGAGTTGAAAGAAATCAAATGTTTTAAGTTGTTTTTGGATAGATTTGAGTTATAGGAGTTGTATTTGAGCTTAATCCAACCTCTAATTGAGTAGTAATTCATTTCCTTGATTGGTTTAGTTAAAGAGGTAGAAGAGAGTTTTAAAGCAAAAGATAAGAAGAAGGTAATTTCTAGTTGATTTGAGAGAAACTTTAGCAATCAAGGATGCCAGTTAACACACTCACAACTCTTTCATACCCTTAGTGGGTTATTAGAAATGCAAGATACCCAGAAAGTTGAGTATGAGCATGTTAAGTAGATTTTCATGGTAGATTGTATAATTTATGTTTTTAGAATGTATTAAATCCTTCTTCATGACCCCTCAGATCAAATAAGACTTAATAACTAATTGTGAAACCTTTAAATAAGAAAATTAGATAGTTTAGGAGGTAAATTCGTGCCTAAATAAGGTATTTTAAGGGTTGGTATCGATACTGTATGAAACAATATCAATATTATTCTTGAAAGTAGCTTAAGATTGAGAGTTTTGGCGAGCAGTATCGATACTCTCATAAGAGTATCGATATTGAGGGTCTAGTATCGAGATCGAGGAGTTTAGTATTGAGTTCGGGATTCTAATAGCCATTTTTGGTATCGATACTCTTGGGAGTATCGATACTCCTATATAATTATCGATACTCCCTCTTTCTTCAAGGTGTTTCAGCAGTAGGGTATCGATACTGAAGTGAGGGTATCTATACTAAAAGGCCAGTATAGATACCAAGGGTATGGTTTGAGCTTTAAATCAAGAGAAAGTATAGAGGCAAGTGAGGGTATCGATATTGTAAGGCTAGTATCCATACCAATGGTAAGAAATGGTCTTAAGTTCATAGGGAATTATAAAAGCAAGCGAGGTTTCCCAAAAAGCTTATAATTACTCCGAATAAGGCTACAAGTGAGAACATTATTAATGTTTATTTCAAACGTAGAAACGAGAATAAATAGGGTCAAATAAGACTAGCCTTGTTTGAATGCTCGGTAAATGATCAGGACACTCGAGTTCCTTTAGAAAAGCTTGCAGTGTCAGAAGTATACATTCAGTCCGGATATATCCTTAGGGAATACGTGAGGCACTTTAAGCTGACTAAATAAGGCTGAGGCCTGACACTCGCAAGGGGTGGGTTAGTCGAGGGTATGATGTTCGATGCAGAGATTTTGGGGGCCATATCCTCGATAGACTAGGGGGTGTATAAGCTCTGAGATGTAGCCCCCAGCTGCGCCATGATGTCTACCATAGATTAGAGAGTGAGTATACAAGTATACTCACTAAAGCATATCAGAGTAGAGCAGTAGATTTGATAGCAAAGTAGTAGACTAGATAGCATGATTCAGTGATGCACTTTTAGTATGTCCTAGTTGTTAGCGCGACACTGAGCTAGTTAGCTTAGCCGTCGAATGTTTCCGTTGGTAGGCTAGTAGATCATCCAGTTCGAGAAGATCTAAGTGACTGAGGTCCAGATCCAGTGTAGAGTAGAGTACATCATCATCATTTTGTAGGGCATATATATTTGTACACTTCATCGTAAAATTAATTCCTAAAATCAATCAAGAGTGAGTCTGTATATTTTTTAAATGTATTTATTTATTTTGAGAGTTCTCAGTTAAAAGTTAAAAGTATATTTTATTTATTGTTGTTTTTATATCACGAAAATGGTCGTTTTAAAGTACAAGAAATCAAAAAAAGTTTGGTTAGCCACTCCGGTGGTTCCGTGTGGTATCCTAAATCGGTCGACTATGTGTCGTACTAGTCTAGGATGTTATAGGTACTCGACCATAAATTGTTTTATCTAGTTTTACAATAGTTCTTTCTTACCATACATATGATTGTTGTTACAATTGTCAAGATACTTAATATTTTATTAAAATGTTCATTTTTCCTTAGTAAGTAAGAAATACTTAATTTGGTTTGTA